TTTTTTTTTAAATAAAAGAATAGTAAGTAACATCACGTCTTACCTGACCCCCTCAATAATACACTTCACATCTTTGTCAGTGACGACTGGGAAAGCCTTACAGTCATTCACAGGGAGTCCCATCAACATTTGCCCAGAGTGTATGCTCACTGGGTAAAATGGCAAACTGAATTCTCTCTAGAATTTATTTATTTATTTGCCTATATCTCCCTCCTATCCTCCAGGCTATACAATTGATTTCGAGTATGTTAAACGCACTCATAACTCAGGTCCACTATTCTTTTTTATAGCTGGTGTAGTGTCATATCCTTCCAATGCATTCACCACAGTGCCATCAGAGTGATCTCTCTAGAACAGAAATCTCCTGTTATTCCTCGGCTTCAGTGCCTCCCCACAGAATCAAGTTGTGTACAGAAAAAGTGGGGGGTAGGGAGAGGGAAGCAAAGGAAGCAGAAAGGAAGGACAGGAGCAAGGGAGAGGGGACAGGATGACGACTTTGTGTATATTATCAGTTTCACCTCTCAGAAGGCCGGCCATTCAAACCTCACAGTCTACTTCCCAATCATTTCCAATTCTTTGATATACTTGTATCTTTATCATTTGCTTCTCCTTCTGCCTCTAATACCCCAACCCCGCTTTTCACTTACTAACCTACGTTAAGCTTGTTAAGTATTTACTTACCTTTAAAAACTGAAAACTATATACAGTAGCTGAGACTGAGAAAGTTAAAAGCTGCACTGGGAAATTCCTCATCCTAACTGCCAGAAAAAGAAAACCTAAACTAAAACTTGTAACATATTTTCCACCAGGGGGATTAGGGGCATTAGGTATTACAGAAGTTATTATCAGTACTGTACCATCAGGTACACTGTGCGTTTTTGTCAACTATTCTAGAAATATAATTAGCATTTCTATAGGAAAATGCATTCCAGGTTCCAAAATAATTTACAAATCAATTTTGGAACACAATTTAGTCAAAATCTTTTAAATACACATCAAATTTAGACTCTAACAAAGATGGCATTTCCAATCAGTGAAGAAAAGATGGACTGTTTCATAATGGTGATGGGACAAATGGAAGCATTTTAGTATCTAGGAAAAAATAAAGTTGGATCCATACCTCACATTGTATTACCTGGATACATTCCAAATGTATCAAAGATTAAACTGTAAAAAAAAAAGAAACCATAAAAATACTAGAGGAAAATGTGAAAGAATTATTTTACTAACTTTGGCGTACAGAAGGCCTTTCTAACTAATGGTTCAAAATACAAAAGCCATGAAAGGCAAGATTAACAAATTCACCTAAATAAAAGTCAGAAGCTTCTGCTTGGTCAAGAGCCCAACAAGACTGAACAACTGGGGAAACCTAGTCCGAGTCATATCACAAAAGCCTAACAAATGAGGGAGTCCTATGAAAGCTCCAACAAATCAAAAGGAAAATGATCAGCAACCAAAGAGAAAAAACATATTAACAGACCACAAAGAGAAAAATAACAAATTGCTTTTAAAAATGTTAAGATGCTCAGCTTTACTCAAAATAAGAGAAATGCAAAATAACTGCTCTGAGATACCAATTTTCACCTACTGGATTCCAAAAGTTATGGAGAACAAGGTTTTCATTCATTGCTGCTGGAAACATAAATTGGTACAATCACTAGGGAGAATAATTTGGGAATATCTATCAAATTAGCTGCAAAATCCCTTTGACCCAACAGTTCCACCCCTGGGAATTAATAATCCTACAGATATAAATGCATATAAGCAAAATGATATGTATACAAGCATTAGTCATAAAAGCAGAAGATCAGAAAGTCTATAAAAGAAAGCTTTATACCATTAATAGATAATTTGTTCAGTGAAAAAATTAAGAGACTTAAAAATCAGGAGAAAATATTTGTTAATTCATATTTATTTCTATCTGCAAAAGTAAAAAACCTAGAAGAATATGCAAAGAAGTAATAACAGCAATTATATCAATAGCAGGAAAGTTGCTGAGAAATTAGGCAGACGGTGAACAGGAATAGGAGAAAGGGTTTCTAACATTTTAAAAATTTTGTGCAATGTGACTTTATAACACAGTCTAACCATTAAGTTTGTATGCAAATAAATTTATGTAGAGCTAGACAAAAACATTTTCCTTTTCCATTTCATTTACTAACATCATTACTCTATCCAAAAATGCTTTAGAAGTGGCTGCCCAAAATGGAAGCGTAAGCAGCTATAACCTCTACTTTTATGAGTTTCTTCATCAGTCACTTTTCACAGTATGCACAGTTTAATACATTCACGTCTACATATTTAAGAATGGCACTGAGCTATAAAGAAACACAGATTTCTCACAGGAAAATAACTAAGAATGGAGATATAAATGAGAAATACACAAGGGTCCTCAGGAAAGCACACCAAACTTGAAAGACAGGAAGTCAGTATTTCTTTATATTCAAGCAACAAAATTCCTCAGGGTATTAAAATTAAGAATTCACCAGAAATAATCATCTATCTAGCAATACACAAAAGAGAGGAGAAAAAAGACTCTAAAACACTAGAGTTTAGCTCTAGCAACAAAAAAACTGGCTTATTTTTCCAAAACTAATTTCTAATATAAAAAACTGAACCCATTTTAAAAAAATGAAGATTTTAATTAGATGTGGACCATTCTGCACAAAAAAAGTGCTTAAAAGTTTGCCTACAAAGTAGGGGAAAAAAATCCATAAATTACATCCACTACTATTATTATAACTATTTGAGTGGTAAACATTTCATTTGATATTATAACAAGAACAGCCAGATATTTTTAAATACCCCCCACTCTACTTATCAATAAAAAATTTTTCAAAAATCTCTGTACTTACCCCCATTATCTGTTCTTTTTAAAGCTCCATCCTTATGAGGACACAGTTCACATCTCTATGTAAAAGAAAAAAAAGAAAAAACAAAGATTTTTCAGACTACCAAACTACAACATCTTCCCTATAACTTCAGAACTATTAAAAACATGGGACTACTTACCACAAAGGGATTTCAAAACATTCCTCGCAAAGTAATTCTCCTCTAGGTGTGATCTTCCACAGAACACCTTATATTTATACACACACACACACGTGTGTACATAAATATATTTTTTAAGTAATTTCTACACCCAGCGTGGGATGTGAACTCACAACCCACATATCAAGAGTCGCATGCTCTGACTGAACCAGCCAGTAGCCCCATCAGATAACGACTTTACAAAAGTATGACTCAACTTTTACATTCCTGCCATGATTTTTGTAACATTAATAAATACAAAGAGGGTGCTGGAGCACACTTTTTAACATCTGCCTCTACCCCTTTGCTTTCTGTGTAGCCTTAGCTAGTATTATTATAGTCAGTTAGGTTTGGTTTCTCCTAAAATAAAGAGCCAAAGTCAAAAACTTAGAATTTTTATTTAAATGAGAAGGCATGATCTCACACATGCTAACTTTCTGGAAAGAAGAAACCGCTCTAATTATTCTACTTACTCTTATCACTCACACACAATGATACTCAGAAGTGGTTATGGATCCCTACCATCCCCACAATTTAAATAACCAGAAATAGGGACTCCTGGGTGGCTCAGTCAGTTGAGCGTCCGACTTCAGCTCAGGTCATGGTTTCATGGTTAGTGGGTTCAAGCCCCACGTCGGGCTCTGTGCTGACAGCCAGCTCAGAGCCTGGAGCCTGTTTCAGATTCTGTATCTCCCTCTCTCTCTCTGACCATCTCCTGCTCACACTGTCTCTCTCTCTCTCAGAAATAAATGAAAACATTAAAGAAACATTTTTAATAAAAAAACCATAAATAAACACAGAGCTAATACAATCATTTATTTTCACTACTACTAAGAGAACAGATATAATTATAAAAATGAGAAACAGAGTAAGTTTCAGTGGCACTGTCTTACTATGAACAATATGTGCCGAAGGTCACATTTGAGTGTTTATTATTTGTACCCTACATTGCTGCTAATCAAAGAGGTTTTGCAGTATATAATATACTAAAATAAACAAATTTACAAAGGAAAATAAGAGAAAGAAAGACAAAAAGCACCCCTTAGTATTTTTAATTAAAGAAAAGTAGATGCAACAAATATGGAAAAACATTTCAGGCGCCTAGGTAGTTCAGTTGGTTAAGCATCCAACTTCAGCTCAGGTCACAATCTCTCGGTTCAGGAGTTTAAGCCCTGCATCGGATTCTGTGCTGACAGCTCAGAGCCTGGAGCCTACTTTGGATTCTGTGTGTCCCTCTCTCTCTGCCTCTCCACTGCTCACTCTCGCTCTCTCTCTCAAAAATAAACATTTGGGGAAAAAAACAGAAAATATTTAGTCTCACTTATACCAAAGAAATATAAAACTATAAAAATTATGAAATAATATGCATTTTAACCACTAACTTAATAAAGCTTTCCTTTTTTTATATCTTATTTTATTTTAATTTTTTTATCTTTTTTTTAAGTTTATTTGACAGACAGAGACAGCATGAGTGGGGGAGGGGCAGAGAGAGACACACAGAATCCCAAAGCAGGAGCTCAGAGCCTGACGCGGGGATTGAACCCACAGACTGCAGGATCATGAACTGAGCCGAAGTCAGACACCCAACCAACTGAACCACCCAGGCGCCCCACTATTTTTTTTTTTAATATTTATTTCTTATCTTTGAGAGAGAGAGACAGAGTGTGAGTGGGGGAGGGGTAGAGAGAGAGGGAGACAGAGAATCAGAAGCAGGTGCCAGGCTCTAGCTGTCAGCACAAAGCCTAATGTGGGGCCTGAACTCACGAACCATGAGATCACGACCTGAGCTGAAGTCGCATGCTTAACAGACTTTAAAAAAATTCTTTAATATTTATTTATTATTTTTGAGAGAGTTTTTAATCTTATTTTTAGGTTTATTTTTATTTATTTTGCGAGCAAGAAGGGGAGAGGGAGAGAGAGAGGGACACAGAATCCCAAGCAGACTTCTCACTATCAGCAAGGACTGAGGCTTGAACTCACAAACGTGAGATCATGACCTGAGTTGAAATGAAGATCTGGGAGCATGTGACTGATTCAGGTGCTCCCCCTTTTTTTAAGTTTGGTTTTTTTTCTTAGTAACCTCTACACCCAACATGAGGCTTGAACTCAAAACCCCCAAATCAAGAGTCAAGTATTCTCCCAAGAGAGCCAGCCAGGCACCCCTAGCAGAGTTTTTTTTTTTAAAAGATAATTCCTAGGGGCACCTGGGTGGCTTAGTCGGTTAAGTGTCCGACTTTCGCTTGGGTCATGATCTAGCGATTCGTGGGTTCAAGGCCCGCGTAGGGCTCTGTGCTGACTGTCAGCTCAGAGCCTGGAGCCTGTTTCGGTCTGTGACTCCCTCTCTCTCTGACCCTCCCCTGCTCACGCTGTCTCTCTCTCTCCTAGAAATAAATAAAACATTAAAAAAATAAAAAATGAAGAGAGTATAAGTCAGCTGTAAGATAACTTCAAATGGCCAAATATACTTGAATTTGGAGCCACTAACGAGGACATAATGCAGGTGGAAAAAAAAAACAGGAAAAATGTCAACAACTTGCCATTGTTTAATGATATTATTAACACATAGAACAAAAGCACTCTTTAAAAACCAAGCAAGAGAAACATACAGAAATTAAACTGTGTGTCAACTATATCGAAAGAAAGATTACATCATGGAGTATCAAAATAAAGTAAAAATGGTTATATTAATATCACTCAAAACAGATTTAAAAATGAATATTATCAAAAAAAGATTTTTTCACAGGATAGTGGGTTTAACAAAGGTGAAGTCTACCAAATATTTAAAGAAAAGTTAGTATCTTTTCTTCTCAAACTATTACCAAAAAAAAAAGAAAAGAAAAAGAGGAAGGAAGGCATCCATGCTTCCATGGCTCTGTGCTTACTGCCAGCTTGGAGCCTGGAGCCTGTTTCGGATTCTGTGTCTCCCTATCTCTCTGACCCTCCCTGTTCACACTGTCTCTTTCTCTCTCTCAGAAATAAATAAAACATTAAAACTTTAAAAAAAAAAAAAAAAGATGTCAACATGGAAATATTTGTAATTTTAACATCGGACAGATGTTATAATTATCTTATTATTATTAAGAAAGACAGCATGAGTAGGGGTGAGTCAAAGAGAAGAGGGGGACAGAGGATCTGAAGCAGGCTCTGAGCTGGCATCAGTGAACCTGATGTGGGGCTCAAATTCACCAACCATGAGATCATGACCTGGGTCGAAGTTGGATATTCAACCAACTGAGCCACTAAGGCACCCCAGATTATAGCACCTTCTGATGAAGATTTTTAAAAAATTATTTTTGAGAGAGAGAGACAAAGTGCGAGCAGGGGAAGAGCAGAAAGAGAGAGAAAGACACAGAATCCGAAGCAGGCTCCAGACAGAGCTGTCAGCACAGAACCCAATGTGCTGCTTGAACCCATGAACCATGAGACCATGACCTGAGACAAAGTCGGACATTCAACCAACTGAGCCACCTGGGTGCCCACTGATGAAAAGTTAAAACACCCATAATAAAAATTACTCAATGAGGAGTGCCTGGCTGGTGCAGTCAGTAGAGCATGCAACTCTTGATCTCAGGATTATAAATTCAAGCCCCACACTGGGTACAGAGATTACTTAAATCTTTTTTATTTTAAATAATTCCAGGGACACCTGGGCGGTTCAGTCAGTTAAACATCTGGCTCTTAATCTCAGCTGGCTCTTAATCTCAGCTGGGGTCATGATCTCACAATTCTTGGGCTAAGCCCTGCACCAGGCTCTGCACTGACAATGCAGAGCCTGCATGGGATTCTCTCTCCCGCTCTCTCTGCCCCTTCCTTGCTTGCTCTCTCTCTCTCTCCAATATATAAACTTAAAAATTTTTTTAAATAATAAAGTATTCCAGATACAAACACAGAAATGAAATCTAGAAAGGTGCAGCAAAAATCTAAACTATAAAGAACCAAGTGGAAATTCTTAGAACTGAGAAGTACAATAAACAAAATAAAGAGCTCAATACATGACTTCAATAGCAGAATCAAGGAAAAAGACTAAAAGAATCCATGAACTAGAGATATAACAATTAAAATTATTCAATATAAGTAACAGATTGTGAAGAAGAAACAAAAGCGAACAGACCCTCAAGGATCTTTGGGTCTATAACACAAAATCTTAACATTTATGTCATCAGTCTCAAGAAGAAAAGGAAATAGAAAAGGGACTGAAAAAGTACTCAATTGGGGCACCTGGGTGTCTCAGTTGGTTGAGCGTCGGACTTTGGCTCAGGTCATGGTCACAGTTTGTGGGTTCGAGGCCACAAACTCTTTGCTGACAACTCAGAGCCTGGAGCCTGCTTTGCATTGTGTCTCCCTCTCTCTCTCTGCCCCTTCCCCACTTATGCTCTCCCTCTCTCTTTCTCTCAAAAATAAACACTAAAAATTTTTTTTGATCAGTTAATGAAAAAGAAAGAAACCACAAAGGCAAGAAAATGACACAATAATGAAAGACAGAAGTTGTGAAGAAAATGAAAATACAACATACTAAAATTTATGAGACATTGCTAAACCAGTGATAAGAGGGAAACTTATAACCATGCACAGAAAAGTCAGAGTCTCAAATCAATAATTGAAACCTCTACCTCAAGAAACTAAAAAAAGAACAAAATAAACCCAAAGCAAGCAGAAAGCAGGTAAAAATCAATGAAATTTAAAATAGAAAAAAAAAAGAAAAATCAACAAAACAAGTAAGGAGCTACTTCTCTGAAAAGATCAATAAAATGGATAAATATCTAGCAACACTGACCAAGAAAAGGAAAGAAGACAAATCACCAGTACCAGAAGTGTACCAGGGATATCACACAAACCCTGCAGACATCCAAAAGATCATCAGGGAATACCGTCAACTTCAC